TTTGGGAATGGCCTAAAGACACTTCAGTCAGCAGCACCATCCCGGAGGGTCAAGGCCAATATTTTTTTAAAACGTTGTACAGTATGGCATTTCCATAAGTTTGGCACAGTGAGTTTCTGGACATAACTGACTGACATACATCTATTATACAGACTTCAACAGAAGTTAAAGACCACCTTGACTGGCAGCCCTGCTTTTTTGTAATCCGAAAAAAAAGACATCATGCAATGTTTTAAATTTTTTTTATCTGAAAGTGTTAAAGGGAGAACAATGCTCATTGCAATGCCTCCTAAAGGGACAAAACCACCTCACGCGCAGCACAGAAATCCTGGGAGAGTTTTTGCCAAATTTGCAAGTGGTCCGTAACGTATGCTGAAGTCTGTATTATACAATATTATATCTGAGGTAAGGTGCAGTTGAGGCGTGTCTTGGTCTTGAGCCAATCCGAAGACTATACTTCATGTCACATGATATTTCGAGGGTCAAATTCTTGGGCGTCACCTTTAGTACTAGAGTTCGTGGCAGTGATGCTGTTTGCTGTTCCCACTCAGGGACGCTGAACCTCAAGGGCAAGACATGCGTAGTTCAGCAGACGGGTGAGTACTTTTCGAGACTCACGCGGATGCGTCTTGGCGTTATGAGGAGGAAATCCACAGGCTTGCCCTGAAATATGAGGGCAGGGTAAAGAGGCTAAAACAGCACCTGGACATGGATGGCCGGTGCCTCTAAAAATAAAACATTGATGGTCAAGGCCATGGGGGTAGGGTGGTGTTTGATATACTAGAGCTCGTGAGGAGCAGGGAGGGGGCTCAGATTGTTGATGTAAATTGGGGCACGCCGGCCATGCTAATGAGGGTAAGAAGGTCCACAGGTCTGACCGTGTTACGTCACTGCTGCGAGCTCTAGTATTATTATATAACTTCTTTGGGCGTCATTTAAAGAGGGGAGAGGACTCGGCCCTATCAAAGACAGGTGTGAGATTCGGGCAGTGTTGAAAGATGCGACAACTTCACACGTCATACAATCAATCCATTAAGGTTAGTTTTCTTTTAGTAAGTGTTTTACGGCACTCGCAACTGCATAAAGTCATATGAATGCCAGAAGATTAGAGGTGTTGCAAGAGAGTAACAAACACAAAAAAGAAGGAGGAGAGATAGAGACGATAGATTTTTTATAGGAAAGAAGGAGCAAACCACACCAGAGCACACGCCAACCACCCACTCCATTAAGGTTGCTACACCAGCCTTCCTAATAACCCTTAATTTATTTTTTTCTTTACAGGAAATTCTGACGAACCGCACGACTGCCAATAAAAAGCCATACCTCGTAGGCTACCTGTATAACAGGCAACTGTACGATTGGTATTGGGACACTGGTAAGTTCAACCTACAATGTATAACCACATACATGCCTACCAAATGCTAAAATTTTTGTCAAATTTTCATTTGTGAGGCATGCTGACAAAATGAGTTACTTCTCCCAGTCCACAAATGGAGATATTGGCCAAAAATCTACCCTCGGGTCAAATTAATAGATTTTCTGTTGATGCAATATTCTTTAAGTATAACATGCGTTTTGTAATTTCATACGTATAAATTGTTTTTTAAAAATAGCCTTTAAGCGTGATGTATCTATTTCCATGGGGATCAAATCCGAGAAGCAACTCATTTAGTAAGCACACTTCACATTTGACAGATTTTGATGCATTTAGGAGTGTCCAAATTTGTCCGTCACTGAGTAGGGGCAAAAGCTACTACTTTGACGCGATCCAACTCGATTCTCTACAAGCAAACATTCTTGTTTTCTTCTGGATCACTATCGCTTGTATTTGATGACAATCGTGACCAAGAGCCGCTTGAAAGGCAACAACTTGTCACGTGACATTCGGGATCAGATCTTTTGTTCGCCCGTTTGCCCGCAGAATGCGATAGGATCTAGATCTAGTGGGTTCCGTGCCCGATTTGGTGAAGCAAAGCAACGTCAATATGATTATGCTATAATGTTCATTGGTTTTCTTGAACAAATGTGTCACAATGCAGTGGAATCAGGCGCTCGTCAATGTTTGGGCATCTGAAATAATACGTACGTATCATCTTAAAGCTTGTTCGTTTGTCTGTCTTTCATTGAAAAAAAGTACCCATCTATCTTGAATAGAAGTCGATATGTTTGCGATTGAAGGTGGTGGGGGTCACCAACGAGGAAGTGTTAAGGAAAACAATACGGATCTCAATAAGAGATGAGGTAGGAAGAAGGCAATGGCGATGGATTGGACATACTCTCAGGAAACCAAGCAGGTGCATAACAAAGAAAGTGTTTGATTGGAATCCACAGGGTAAAAGATCAAGGGGAAGACCACGTGGAACCTGGAGAGGAATCACAGAAATTGAAATTTGTTTGCTTCTATCTTTGTTTGTTGCTATCATCTTCAGGTTCTCTGATCCCCCTAAACAAGACTCTTGACCATAAGACCAGTTTTTTTAAAAACAACAAATATTGTGGATGTATGAAGGCTGAGACGTCTTCTTTTTCGAGCGCAGACTGTGAGGACGATCATCCATATATATGTAAACTTGGTAAGGTTTTCGTTTCAAGTATGTGGTGTTTAATTTGGGCAGGGGGTGGGGGAGGGAGGAAGGGGTAGGTAGG